ATATATATATATTGTGTATATGTATATATCTTCGCGATTAATTGATCAGAGGTACGGAGGTATAATGAGAAGAAAGCAACTGTTTCAGATTCAGACCGAAGTTGATCTTATCGGGCATGGACTGCCACATACAAACAGACAGGGAGGTCGCGTCGGAGAAGCACACTGTGGCCGTCAGGCGGGAAGCAATAGCGGCAGGCATGTGACGTCTGGGAGAAAGGCAGCAACACACCATGCTGCAAGAGCAGAATACTACAGCCTTTTAATTCAAATACGCCTGCACACGCATATAGTTTTTTTTTACTATTAACTTTTTTTTCTTTTTATGTTAAAATAATGTTTAAAATGGTATTCCAAATAAATGTTTTTCTAAGATTTTACCTTTGAGGTCTGGAATTGTTTCTTAAAAGCCCCATTTTTCTCCTTCCCCTTGGGTATTTGCACACCCCACTGTGGAAACATCTTTTTTCTTCTATACCAGAACCCGGGGTGTGAAACTTCCAGCACCTCTATACTTCATTTGCAAAACATGTCTACTAATGTTATCTCCTGAATATACAGTAGTGGTTCCATGCACTACAAAACACATTGGCAAGGTGCATTGGGGTGCTTTTAGGAATAAACGGCACTAGAGTGCACTAATGCATATAATGCTACCGGAAAACAACAGCCTTATTCTCCATCTGTCAACTGTCATCCAGGGCAGGAGTTATGGGTTAAGGATGACCTCTGTGTCACCAATGCTTGGGTAGATAAGTGAATCTTTTTATCGAAGAAGGTTTGCATTGCTTCATTGTGGTTGTCTGAGGTAGTAAGTGAGCACACTGCTTTAGTGAGCTATTAGGATCCACAAAAGTCTCACCATGCCATGAACTCCCACAGTCACATGAGTTACATTTGTACAGCTGTATGTTTCTGGTTTATGGGATAATAAAGTACTTATGAAGATATCAAAAGGCATTTTAAAGAAGAACAGTCAGGAATTAAATTGAAGGAAGTATTAATACTACATTTTTAAAATAATTCTCTCTCTCTCTCTCCATATATACATATATATATATATATCTATAGTATGGTGACTGCAAAATCTGTCATGTCCACAAAAGTTTATGATGAATACATGTGGCTCCACTGTTTCCTAAAAATGTATTTTAAGGTGAAGATCGCAAGTTAATCTAGTAAAGAAAAGTGATATGCCTGGGCTTGGTGCACACTGGACATGTGCGCCGTCAAAAAAATTGTTTTGTTTAATTTTCATTCGGATTTTTAGTTTTTCCGTTTTTCGGTATTTGGGTCTGAAAGATCCGTCTGCCTCCGAGCAGGGACACCCATACCCGTATGGACGTGCAGTTCGGGTGAGCATAGGGCGGCATACGGCTGTGTACTCCCATAGAGAAGAACAGGCTGCTGCCCCCCCCCACTAGTAATGAGTAGAGATGAGTAGAGATGAGCCTGAGTTTGCCCAAGCCCTCTCAAAACTGTGAGCACCACTCCTCCTCCTGGACCAATCAGTGGCGGAAGTTGCAGTGGGGGCATGCCTAGCCCCCGTGTGACATATAGCTGCAGGAAGTATGCCTTTCATGCCTTTTTTAAAAATAATTTTCTTTGATATTATCCCACAAGCATATGTCAAAGGTTGGCAGGGATGTCGTTGCCTTGGCCTCCATGGAGAGAAGTGAATGGAGCATGATCTGTGCTCCATTAGCTTCAAATGAGGTGGCATCAGTGGGTCTAAAGGACTGCTGATTAGGGATGGGCTGTATGGTCAAGTCGAACGTGAGTTCGACTCGAACATCGCTAGTTCGTGTGTTCGCCCAACACACGAACTATAAGGATGTTCGGCGGTCTGTTCAACCGCTCAACATCCTACAAGGCAATGCGCCTTGTGAAACCCTAATTGGGTAAAGGCTTGCACCTGACCACAGGTCAGGTGCAGGCCTTTGCCAATCAAGGCTCAGTACTCTGTTAGAGCCATGATTGGGCAAAGTCATGGTGACTTTGCCCAATCATGGCTCATAGCAAAGTACCAGCAGCACACTATATAACACCGATTACACCGCAGCCCTGCGTAGTGTGTTGCTGGAGTTCAAAAAGAGAGAATATATAGCAGAGTTCTACAGCAGAGTTCTATAGCAGAGTTGTATACAGCGTTCTATATGAGAGTTCTATATCGGAGTTGTATACAACGTTCTATATCAGAGTTGTATACAGCGTTCTATATCGGAGTTCTATATCAGAGTTCTATACAGCGTTCTGTACTATAGCAGTCATACTGGTCTATTATAACAGTTGATTTTTGCAGTCTATTGCATAAACCATCATGTCAGAAAGGCCAAAAAGGACAGGCTGCCTCCCCAAGCAGTTGTTTAAAAGATTAAAGGAAAACCAATTACCGGCAATTGAAATGTCATTTTTTTCTTTTTAAATGTCACTGCAGCAGGTTCTATACATCGTACAGATCCGCCAATTCACAGGCAGTTTAAGCCCCCCCCGGCATGATTTTTAAATGAATTTTTCATTTTTATTCTTACCCTTTAAGTGATGTCAAATTCACTGCTCCTTTAAAAACGTTTTTGTTCTCATTGATTCCTGTCCCCTAGGGCAGTACCCGGACCCCCATGCCCCAGGCCTTTTTATGGCCAGTAACTTGCATATAAGCCCTCTTAAAGGGGATAATCATTTCTGAAAGTTCTACCCCTATTGACTTGCATTTAGTTTGAGTACGAATTCGAACTTTTTGAATGTTCTAAAGTTCAAATGAACTCCCACAGTCACATGAGTTACATTTGTACAGCTGTATGTTTCTGGTTTATGGGATAATAAAGTACTTATGAAGATATCAAAAGGCATTTTAAAGAAGAACAGTCAGGAATTAAATTGAAGGAAGTATTAATACTACATTTTTAAAATAATTCTCTCTCTCTCTCTCAATATATACATATATATATATATATCTATAGTAT